TAGAATTGTATACTAACATGAAGGTGACATCCCAGAGATATGGTGTGTGGTGTATGTTTTATGTATGAACTGGTATGCTATCTAGTTATAGAAAGGACTTAGGGCAGCTTAGACTGAGACTTGGTATATAAGAAGTAAGTTTCTCACTGAACTAAGTGAGAAGGCTAAAGGCAAAGGAAAATGAGTAACACATCTCAAGATTCTGTGGAATTCAAGATGCAAGCAAAGTCGTAAGCCAGTCCTAGGAGTTTTCCTCTGTGAAATATGCATGTGTATATCATATTTTATAGAACCAAACATACACAAATCTGGACTTTGAAGGCAGAGAACTTAGGAGGCTGACATTTACATTTCAAATGTATTTTTCAGTTTACAAAACAATTCATCATTATATTTCTTTAAGTGGTGGGGCTCTTGCATTTAGAATACACGCATGCTGTCATAGATAAACTCCAGATTCAGATTTGCTAAATGGGGCACTTTCCAACCTCCCGGCTATAAGAGCACAAATAAATATTTTCTGTTGTGTGATATGTGAGTGTGCAATTGTCATGTCAGGATATGACATCAGCAACTCGACTCCAGGTAGTCTGTCAGAGACATAGAGGGTCCCGGGAGCTAGCTCAGCTTTAGAGAAGTGTTCGTCTCTCAAGCATAAGGACCTAGGTTCGATCCCCAGAGCCCATGTAGAAAAGTTGGGCATGGCGGTGCATATTTGCAATTCAAGCACTGGAGAGGCGGAGGCAAGTGAAGGTCCCTGGGGGCACACCAGCAGTCAGCCTATTCTTCTTGGTGGTTGTTGCCTGAAGACTGATGCCCAAGGTTGTCCTCTAGACTCCACACGCATGCATACATGTGTGGATGAGCACACACACACAACATGAGAAAGGATTTAGATCCAACTGGAGAAGACAGAGTATTCTGCAACCAGGCCAGAATTCAACTATTTCCAAAGGTGCATGCTTATTTGACTGGTTGCATGTTCTGAATCTTGCTCACGGAAAGAAATGAGCAAATTCCTTATTGAACGAATCCCTTATTGGTTGAACAAATTCCTCATTGATTCCAAATAAACAAAATTCCTTTTTGATTCTGAATTCATACAGATTTAATCAACAGAGTGGCCTCAGGGCCCATACTGAAGCTGTGGTTGGGTGCCCCGGGCAGTATAGAAGTGGACAGGCAAGCTGAGAGGACAGAGAGATGGGGCAAAAAGAAGAGAGAGAATCCTGGATGACATGGAGGGGACACAGCTGGTCCTGAAATTAAATACACGAGGGTCAGACAAGCACAATAAATGATAGCCACACAGGGACCTAGAATGGGCTCCAGGCAAAGAGAAGGACTGTTTGACCTTTGCTCTTTCTGTATTTATCTCCCAAGCAGAGAGATTCCTTTGCAAGACTGCCCTTGGCATCCCTTTAATCACCAGGGTTTGGGATGCTAAAGATGAATAACCTGCCCCTCACTGGGGGGATCCCAGGGCATCTCAGACACAGAAACTTTCCAACTTCCTTCGGCAGTCTTTCTTACTCTGTCTTCATGCTATTTTTCCTTAATAATTTACAGCTAATCCCGTGTATGTGTGTTTATGTGTATGTGTGTGCATGTGTGCATGTGCATGCGTGCGTGTATGTGTGTGTGTGTGTGTGTGTGTGTGAAACAGTAACAGATTTGGATTAAAGCAAGCTTCTATTTTGTAATTTTACAAAAGTAAAATAAATTCTATAGTTTAGATTTATAGCGTTCAGTTCTCTGAGCTATCCTTCAGCGAGAATTCTTATATCAAACACCATGTGGCTATGGGGGAGGAGGCAGAGAAGGTTGGATGCCAAGACCTTGCAGGTCACCAGCCTATTGAAAACAGAGAGCTTCTAACCCAAGACAAGATGGAAGAGAGTGGCAGGGGAAGACACCAGAGGTCCTGCTCCATATTCCCCATGCTTACATAGTTACACAAACATGGACACAACCACACACTCGCGTGCATACAGCACACACATACACACATACATACACCACAAATACTGTGAGTAGTATTTTTTCACGCTAAAATTTTGCTTCTGAAATAACCAGCATGGTATAGGTCCACCCCCTTTCATATAAAATCTTCCAGCAGCTAGAGTTGAAGAAAACTGTGCCTTTAAATTTTTGTTTCCTGTTGAAAAATTGGAGAGGGTTTTTTTTTGTTAAATTATTTTTGCATTTATTGTTGGGTAATGGTGCACTACCGAAACATATAAAACACAAGCTGTCTCTTATTCTGTTGGGTGACAAGTTGCTCAGTTAAAAACAGGTTACGTTACATGCCCTTAGCCCCTCCGAGCTGATACTGTATTGTTCAGAATAGCACATGTCTCCCTAGCTTATTTCCCATGCATCTGGTACATTAGTAGGTGCTAATTAAACATGCGTTTGTGGAATGACTTTACATGAGACCATTTTGCAGTTCCCTGGATTATTTATGCAACACTTGGGGATCTGTGGGTCACAAATCCTACTATAAGCTTTGCTTCCTAAAATTATTAATGGAAAGCGAAGTCCCTCTAACAGAGCTTTTACAAATGTGCTCAGAAAATATCCAAACCCAAATATTAAAGCAAACAAAAATGTATTATTTATGCACACCATGTCCTGTATTTCCCAGAAATGGGATAAACCAGCAGAAAGGTTCATTATGGGAGGCCATGCCTTAACTGAAGGTCCTCACAATTTTCCTTCTGGGGAACCAACCTGCCTGTGGGAAGATGGCAGATGTCAAGATTCTTTAGTGGCTGGGGGATCGGTATGGCCTGGTAGGTCCCACATCCTGATCCAGTGTGGTGATGGCACTCTGTGGTGTTCCCATGCCTCCTTGTCAAATGCACCTCAAAACCTCAAATCTGGAGCTAGAGACCTAGCTTAGTTAGCAGACTGCTTGCCCGTGCGCAAAGCCCTAAGCTTGAGTCCCAGCACCATATCCAATTGGATTTGGTGTGATGCATCTGTAATCCCAGCCCTCAGGAAGTAGAGGCAGGCAGATCATAAATTCAAGGTCAACTTTGGTTACACAGTAAGTCTGAGACCAAACTTGGATGCATGAGACCATGTATAAAGAGCAAAACCAAAAACCAAACAAGCAAAACATAACCTCAAATCTGAACATGAAATGAGGAACCCAGTACTCTTTTCAGATTCCCTGAATGGCCCTGGAGCACTGTGGTGCGCCCTCACTGGAAAAGGATCCCCTACTTAACTATGGCAGCTTCCTTACCTTAATCTTTTCCCTGCTCTGGATCTCTCTTCCTTCCTTCTCAGAATGCCTTGTCTACGCGATGAGAAACAGGGCTTGGTGAGTTAAGCCAAGGGTCTCTCGAGTCTTAACCCAAAGTCAGGTACGGAAGTCGCTGCCAAGCTTTGGGTAGAGACAGTTTGTCTCAACTTAACTTGCTGCCTTCCAAGTTATTTGATCTCAGAAACTATCTCCTGGTGGTATATTGGCACCTCTCAGAACTAGCGGGAAAATGTTCTGAGCGTGTTACAGTATAACATCTTTAAAAGACTGTTCTAACTCAAATGGCCATGGGGGTCCTCTCCCCTTATCTCCCCAAATCTTGCTGTCCTCACACAAAGGATGTCTGGACATCCAGCTCTCACAGCAGATTGCCTCATCAAAGACTTCACATCGTCAATAAGTAAACAGAAAAGGGTACTTGGGTGGCCGAAGAGACGGCTTCCATCAATGCTCATTTTACAGAGACCAGGCTTCAGTTCCTAGCACCCACATGGCAGCTCATAGCCACCTATAACTCCTATTCCAGGGAATCCAACACCCTCTTCTGGCTTCCCTGGGTACCAGGCACCCATGTGGTGCACAGACATACATGCAGGCAAAACACTCGTGCAACAAGATGAAACAATTTGTAAAAAGTTCCTTGTGTCTGGGTGTTTTCTCTGCCTGCCAGTCGCATAGTTCATGGCATTTAACACAGAGCCCAGAGTACAGTAAGCTAAAGAAAGCTGTAAGGCTGACTAATGCTCGCTGGGATAGGACAGACGCGTGGGGCTTCAGCCAAATCTTGTAAATTTAGCAAAGAATATCAGAGCAACTCCTTCTGTTACCCTAAATGTCAGGGGCTCTTGCATTTTCATGAAGAACACACAGGTCTTGGTTTTTAAAGGTCTTCTATGAGCATGCTCGTGGAAAATCACAAGCTCGTCTGCACCGAGACGATGTAGGCAACAATTAGAGACGTGAGGAAAGTTGATCTAGAAATTCCAGGGGGCCTTTGTGTTAATTAGATCAAGGCCCAGCACTCTAAGCGAGCTCCCGTTGACCTGCCTTGGGACCAGTAGGACCGAGTCCTCCCGACCTAAGCCAAGTTTCAAACAAGATGAATCATGTGTTTTCCTGCTCTGCCATCTGAAATTTTACTAGACAAACAATGTTCTATTTAAAATCACACTCAATAGAAAGACTAGATAGGACTTCTTATTAAAAGAATAATGTGTGTGTGCGTGCGATGTTGCGTGTACATGTGTGTGTGTGTGTGTGTGTGTGCTTATCTGTGTCTATGCATGTGTGTGAGCGCTGCATAGCGCAGGGAATGTGGAGAGGTTAGAGAACAACTTCAGGTGTCTGTCCTATGAGACAAGGTGCTGTGTGCTAGGCTAGCAGCTTGAGAGCTTCGCTGATTCTCCTGTTCGGTTGTAGGAACACTGGCAGTACAGATGCCGCAGGCCACACCCAGTTTTATGGAGATCCACCTCCGGGCCTCACTTTAGAGGCGAGTGTTTAATATACTGGGCCATTGTTCCAACCACCAACCTTGAAGTATTTCCTTTTTTAACATTAATTATTTTTTCTGTTATGCGTATGAGTGCTTGCCTGCACGTAAGCACGTGTGCTGTTCTCCTTCCGCTCCTCAGCCAATAGCCACTGAGATACCAGCCCATTGGGGCGTGGTCTCTCTTTAAAAAAGCCACAACTGCCCTGCGGGCTCTCTTGCTTCCGGCTCTGCTTCCAGCGTCTAGGCTCCTTTCCTGATTGTGCAGCCCGACGGTGATCTGTAAGTTTTCCCCTTTAAATAAATAACTATTCTATTAATCATAATTCTGAACCGGTGTGGGACTGTTTATGACTTACGCCTTCAGTGTGCTATGTGCGTTCAGTGCTCTTGGAGCCCAGAAGAGTGCATTGGATGGATCCTTTAGAACTAGAGTTATTCTGTTGTGAGCCACCATGTGGGTATTATGAACCAAACCCCAAATCTTTACAAGAGCAGGAAGTGTTCTTACAGTGGAGACGCTGCTCCAGCATCACACCGTGGTTCTCATTATAATCTTGTCACAATTGTCCTTGAATCCTTAGGAAATGAAAGTTTCTTGTAGGAAATGATTTGGAATTTTCACAAGGCCCATCCTTGCTTGATCACTTATAATTTCCAATGTAAAATCTATGTAAATAGTTATTGTACTGTGTTATCTAGTAATAAAAATCCATTATTCAGATATATTCAGGGCAGACATATTCTTCCAAAAATTTATCCTGCTCTTTTAATAAATATGTGTAATTTATATGTATCTGGGTGCACGTGTATGAGTTTTTCCGTGCCACATGTGTGCAGGAGCCCACAGAGACCACAAGGGGACAGTAAATCCCTGAAATGGCAGTGACAAATGGTTGAGGTTCTGGGAACCAAACCCAGGTGAGCACACACACTACACACTGTAAGCAGTGTGAGCAGTCCACACAGGGAGCCATCTTTCTAAACAATATTTCTAGCTGCAGTTTATCAAACTCACGGAAGCAAGAGCCGCAGCTCCAGGGGCCAATTCTGCTTCCTCTCCAGCGTGGCTTGCCGTTCTCTATTTTATAACTTGGTTGATCCAGCTCTTCCTAGGCTCTAGTCCACCCTGAAGTCCATATGTGGTTTGTGGAAGATGAACTCTGTTCTGAGGTGTCTGGCTGCCCATCATCTCATAGTTAGGAGATTGCTAGTTCTCAAAGCAGGGACTGTCATTCTCCCCTTTCTGTTTCCTGACTTTGCGGGGTGCCAAACACCTCAACTGCCTCCACATTTCCTTTCTCGTCAATGTTTCTATCTCGCTTTGATTCACCTGGCTTTGACTTCCCCACTGGAAGCCACCTACAATTACAGCCAATTCTCATTTATACAAAACGGGTCCATTTCCGTGTAGTGGGCCACAGAGGAGCAACAAAGACAGCTGAATATGCGCTGTAAACAAAGCACAGGGCTGCCGGGCTGTGCCATTTTGCAACTAAATGGCTGTATTTTGAGTGTGCTGGGTTCACAAGCCACTCAGGAGTACCTTTCTTGGGTCTGCCTTCTGTATGACCTCTTAGCAGTGGCTCAGTTCAATTCTTGTCTTTAAGGAACACTTTCCTTGACTGCGTGAGCCCGTGTAGTCTGTGAGTTTATATGTATAGCTCCTGTTGTCTGTACTAAGTTCCAAGCATTGCCAGAGGCTGGTAAAAAAATGAATGTGTAATACTTATGAGTCTCTCTGCCCCTCTGACAGACAGGCCACGACAATACTCATGAGCCATCTAGCATGGTCTTGAAATAAAATCAAAGAAAAAGAAAAGAATTAACTCTGTCTCAAACTCATAGTAAATGGGAGGTATACAGACAAGTTAGAGGGAAAGCCCATAGGGGTCAAATTACCTGCGGCTCAAGGATTATGGGAACCAGGGTAATGGGAAGGGAGTGCAGAGTTTGCCAGTGTCTTATACAGAGTACACACTTCTCTGACAATTATTTATGTGTCTGTGTTTTTATATATACAGAGGTCTCCTGATGCCACCGGGAGACAGAAGACCAAAGGGATGTACAGGTGAGCCTGCCCTAAGCCTGATTGGTGAATTTGAAAGCTGTGGGACACCTCTCTGGGTCCCAGGTTCCTCTTCTGAAAAATGAAGGTGTGAGTGCTCTCCCTAGAGTCCCAGATGGCCGGCCTCTGTCCACCCCTTCAGCCCCCTTGCTCTGTGACTGCTCTGTGATGCCTCAGGCTCAGCTACAGATTGCTTTTGATAAGGCTTTCGCTGTCCCTCCGCCTCCTCTTTCAACAGGATCTTTTCCAGATAATTTTAGAAACCCTCAAGATTTATTTAAAACAAGAATATAGTATCTACTTCCCTTTTAGATCCCTCCCCAAGATCCCTAGATCACATCCATCCACAGTGTGCCCAGCCCCTTCACCAAGGGTTCCTCTCAGGTAGAGACGGAGCCTCAATTTCAGAAGGTCAGGAAGTATTCAAGGCAAGAATTGGGAAGATGGTATCAAGTGTAAAATTCTGTTCTCTTGTGAAGTAGATCCCACAAAAGTCATATCAGCCAATAATCACCCTTCTGGCGCTTAAATGCCCTTTACAGTTTATGCAGCAGAGGGGGCGGGGTTCAGTTGTCTTTCAAGGAACTCATTATACCTCTGAATTGCCACTGCCACAACAGCACTGGGAGCTAAACCCCTCTCACGTGTCCCTCTCTGACCCAAATGCCACCCTGTTTCCATTTAGAAGTTCAATCCCCGTTCCACATAATGATTACATAACTATTTGCAGAAATATTTTAGACCAAACCATCTTTTCTGTCGATTCTCATAGCATGCCAGTGTCTATCAACTCATCACGCTCTTTCTCCCTCTCTGAACATTTCTAGTTAATAATTAATACCAGTGCCTAGTATTTAGTCTCAGCAAATAATTTACAGTTTTTCCCACAAGGATATTAGAGGTAACTTTGGTTTTTTTTTTTAATTTCAGATTTATTTATTTTATGTGTATAACTATTTTGCCTGCATATATGTCATATATGTCTATGTATCATGAGAATGCAATGCCCACAGTGGTCCTAAGAAGGCACTGGGATCCCCTGAAACTGTATGGTTGTGAGCCCCTGTGTGGGTGCTGGGAACCGAGCCCTGGTCCTCTGCAGGGGAGACAGACACTTTTAACTGTCAAATCATCTTTCCAGTCCCACCTTGTGAGACTCTTAATCAAAGCCCGAATGTAAACTAAGAGCAAAGGCCCAAGGTCTAGCTTCTTTCCGAGTCTGTAACCATGGTGACAATGCCAGGGAAAGAAAGGAAGTGTGTCTGTCAGGACTTGTTCCTGCGAACCAGGACGAGTTCTACCACGTCACCATCTTTCTGTGTAACTATTTGAGAAAGAAAGTCATGGATATGACACACAGAGACACAAGCAAAAGGAAACTATCTCACCAAGACAACTTCTATTTTTGGAAGAAGACTGTGCAATGACCCAAACTGGACCAGCAAACATACTAGGGCTGTAAGTTCATTTGCTTTCATGACTATGTCTTTCCCCACTGATGGAATCTTAATCTCACAATATGATGAAATTAGCCAATTCATAATGAGCGTGACAGGGCAAGAATGTAATAGAATCCAGTCTTGGGGACCTCTGATGTGTGGGGGTTGGGCAAACAGGCACAGACAGAGTGTCACAGGGTGAGAGAGGTTTGTAGAAACTGGCCCTCAATGGCCCTTGTTCAACTTGCATCCTCACAGGTATAAGCGATTATAGCCTCTGGGCCAGGACTCAACTTCAGCCATCTGATAATCAGAGTTTGGAGCAACTTCCTTGTTCTCTACAAGATTCCCAACAATGACTCAGCAATGTCTCCCCCAGGATTTCTGGATTCCTTCCTTCCTTCCTTCCTTCCTTCCTTCCTTCCTTCCTTCCTTCCTTCCTTCCTTCCTTCCTTTCTTTCTTTCTTTCTTTCTTTCTTTCTTTCTTCTCTTTCCTGATAAAAGATGAACCAGCCCAATCAAAGCGAAATGGGACATTAAGAAGACAGGAACCAAGGTGAAGTCTCTCAGCAAGAATTCCAGCTTGATTAACATTTGCAGTGGCATTAGCCTGCATGGGGACAATATTCTTGTTTTTTTTTTTTTTTCTCAAAGAGATTTAAATAAGAATGACAAACAACAATGGATACTTATGCCCAAGCAGATACATGGCTTCAAGCCTTGCTCAGTTGAAAACCTGTGATCTCCTGGGAGTCTCACAAACAGTACTTCATCTGTAGCAAAAGTGCAACTTAACTCCTGCAGACCCCCGGTGACACACTTCATCCAGCAAGGCTGTACCATGGAAACCTCCCTAAACAGCGCCACTCACTGAGGACCACATATTCAAACGCTGCCACTCACTGGGGACACTTATTCAAATGCTGGAGACTATGGGGACATTTTTCACTCAAACCGCTGCAACAAAGGTCTCATAAAAGAACTACTCTGGCTGCTATAGATGGCAGCAAGGAGCTGCTATGGCCTCACTGCTGCTAACAGAGCTAAAAATCACTGGGCCTGGTGGCCAAGCCTTGAAATTCCAACTACTTGTGAGGCTGAAGCAGAAGGATGCTATTTTGAGGCCAGCCTGGGTATCCCACCAGACTTTGTGACAAAATAAAACAGGGTACGGGTGTGCTTGGTGGTGGACCCTCGATTCCAACTCCCAGCACCATGGTAGAGCATCAGTGCCTGGTGTGAACCCTCCTCTCTTTAACCCCGTTATTTCTGAGGTACCAGAATTCATTTTAGAGATGGGTGTTACGGCGGCAGCCTATGATCTTGAGAACTCGGAATCCACCACGTTGTTCTTTTGGACCAAATAATCAAATAGAGTTGAGGCCCAGAGCAAGCACACTCCACAGCAGCCACAGGTAGCTGAATAAACAATTACACGGATGACAACCGGAACCTGTTTGAATCCTTCCCAGCATGCATCGCGTCACCCCCAGGAAAGAAAGGGAACTATATTTATTTTCTGCGCCCTGGCTGGGTGTAATCAGCAGATCTCTCCTCTGAGAAGGGAGAGGATGTCTGCTGGTCTGGATTAAAACACATTAGCAGGGGAAGCATACGGTCATTTACACCGCGCCTGCTCCCACACTGAGCCAAGGTTAACACATTAATGAAAAGGAAGAGCGCGGTATAAATGTTGAGCCTTATTAAACATGAGATCATCGCTTCCGGCTATCTTTATTAGGGAACGTCTCCCTCCTCCTGTGCCTGCACACTGACTATCGTTCTTCTGAGAGCTAATTGTGTTTTGGAGGAAGAACGGCAGCAGTTCGCCGTGTGACTGCGAGGACGGACGCTGCTCCAGATGGGTTTCGTTGAGATGATACGGGAAGAAAATGGCACTATTTACTTAAGGACAGCCTTGCATTTTCTTTTGTTCCTTCAACAGGTTACTAATCACAGGAGTGGTAATTAGCCTCGACAGAGCGTACACAGAAAACGATAAATGGAGGCTGTGTGCACGGAGGGGCCTCTGCCTTGCCAGGCTTATTATTTCCAGTCCCGCTAATTGTCCTTATTATGCCGCGTGACTCTTTTTTGCTTGAATTATGAGCGAAAAAGTGCTGAATAGAATTATTTTTTTTTTCCAAAGTGCCCTGAACTATAGAGGGAAATGAAAATCACAAACAATGAAAAGCTTGTTAAACAATGAGAGTGATCATCTATAACGGCATCCTGAAGGGACATCCCTCTTCCTGCGCCATAAAAATGTAAAGTGCTTCTCAGAAAATGAACACGAGCAGGATTTTTGTTTTTTTTGTTTTGTTTTTGTTTTTTGTTTTTGCTCACAAATGATGAGTTAAAAAAAAAAAAAAAAAAAGAACTGGTCCTAGCCCAGCTCTAGGCAGTGGCAAAAGAAAGTCATGAACTTTTACAAAAGAACAGAAGCTGGGGCCACGATTCTTTACTTGGTTTCATTCATTCATTCATTCATTCATTCATTCATTCATTTTGCCTTGCTGGGAAATGGAATCTGGAACCTCCTGAATGTCAGGCCTGTGCTCTACCAATGAGCTATACCCCAACCCACCCCTACTCTTAGGCCTAATAGAGATGGGATTTTGAATCTGTGTAATTAAAGCGTCCGTGGACAGACTCTTCTAAGTGAGGAAAGATGATGGCCTGCCCGGCTCACACATTACCTACAGACCACCAGGGCAGGGAGATGCTTCAGCCTGGAAAGAGTTACCACGTGATCCTTTCCTCTCACGCTGCTCGGCCGTCTCTTCCCAGTGAGGCCTAGGAACGCAGCCCTGCCGATGGGGTCCGCTTTTACCAACTCTGTCCCGAAATTTGGTTTGAAATGTCCCCCCATTGCCCTTTGTGCTTCTTTTTCTCTGTGCAACAGATGTGCTTAAATGTTAGCCATGTCTTTGCCACCTGGACTCCAACCCAATGTGAAGCGGGGAGAGGTGGAGACCGGATGCTTAGCCACCGACAGCAGGACCGGTGGTGATTCCGGTTAGCTGGCTGCAGCAGGTGGGGCTGGCCTCTGGGCACAAGGCAGCGTCCCTTCCTCTGCCAGCTCCAGTCTGTCCCATGAGTTAGACATTCAACCCATGGATTATCAAGGAGGAGCTCTGCTTTCTTTAGCCTTCTGGGCTTCTGATGCCAATACAAACACACACCATTTTCAGTAGCGGAGATGGAGCAGCTGTCCAGATTCCAGAGGGACAGGACGGAGATGCTCCCAGAAGTTCAGGAAGAGGTAGATTCGTCTTAAGGACACCCAGGCCTTAAAGCACCAGCTAAGAATGCAGCCTTGGTTGTAAGGTAAAGTGACTCAGCCCTGTCATTTAGTGTGTCGACGGTTATGTACTCAGGGAGTTGGGGTGACGTAGTCTTAAACCAAAAGTTTTGGGCTCTCTGCACGGACTTAGAAATGTCAGCCTGAAAAGACAGGCAGTTAATTATTGCTCAGTGCTATCTCCCTCTTGCCCTCTGTCACACGTGAGCTTAGGGAGACAGGTCATCCTCCCAGTGAGGATGTTCAATAGTAAAATCTACTTAAGGGAGGTAGTAGGCATTGAAGAAACAAATCTGGTTGTTTAGCAAGAATACAATTCCATTTCTGTTTGTGATAATGTTGCATAGGTCATCTATATCCATGGCCCAGGCATCTAGAGGTCTTGAAAAGGTCCTAGAAAATTATTGTTGTGCCCTGTGCTGTGAAGCCCCGTGCTCTCCCACCCAGCTTTGGCTCACTCTTTCCTAGTCTTGTTAAGATGAAGACATTCTAGTATCTCTGCTTCTAGAGTCTTACTAGCACTTCCCGGAGTTTAATGTGAAATTCCTGAAGCCATTGCACCAAAATATGACATTGACCCATTCGGCCAGGGACAAACTTGGTGTCCACTTGCTCTGTTCACCCGGATTGGCTCATGGTGTCCACAACCAAGCTTAAACTGTAACGGCTTGGCTGATGCAAACAGACTTTTTTGCAAACTAAATCAATCATTCTGGTGAAAACGCTTCACAGTTAATTCTGGGGAATATTTCTGATTTACTTTTTCTGTCTGAAAGTGGCAGAAGGGTTGCACAAAAAGGGTGGTGTAGCCCGGGTTTTCCATCTAGACTGCTGAATAGCTCTGTCCTGCCAGCGGCTCCCCAAATCACCACACGGAGACTTAAAGTCAATTGTAACTGCTCAGATGATAGCTTGGGCTTGTTTTTAGCTAGCTCTTGCAGCTTAGACGAATCTATTTCTATTGATCTATGTGCCGTCCCAAGGCCTGTTTCCCTCGTATACTTACTTCCCCTCTCACTCACTCTGCATTTCATGGAGTTCCCTCTCACTCTGCCCTTCTCCCCAGTGTTCTCTCTGCCCCTCAAGTCCTGCCTAACCATCGGCCAGTCAGCTTTATATTAACAATGAGAGCACCCATCTTCACAGGGTACAAAAGGTTTATCCTACAGCAGGGTGGCCTTGAGAGCTGCTCTTCAGAGGTGGATCTGTGGTGCCCAGGATCATATATCTCTGGTGAGGAGAACAGTTGTCAAGACTGCAGTCTTGAGAGGACTCTTTCCTTCCTGTAGGCCTGGAGAGAGGGATTTGCACCTTTTTGGGTGGTGTAGGGATTATTTCAAAGGGGTTAAACTAGATCGATTTTTCAAAGCTTAGCCGGTTCCTGTCTCCAGCAAGCACTCCATTTCTGTGTGTTTGCTATTGTCATTATCATTTCATAGGCAATGTAGGCACTTAAAACGAGACAGTATGCCTTGGCATATTAGAAGCAGTGGTATTCGTACAGCGAGAAAGACAGCAATGCACCCTTTCAGGGCGGCCATGCTTTGCCAATGGAAGGCAGTTCACATCTGTGGGAAATTAGCTTCGAGTGCAGAATGGTTTAGAAGTTCAGACTCCATCACTCACTGACCTTTTTAAAAAGCATTTTTTAAACATTTAACTTTATTTTATGTGCACTGGCATCAGGTCTCCTGGAACTGGAGTTTACAGACAAGTGTGAGCTGCCACATGGATGCTGGGAATTGAACCCGGGTCCTCTGGAGGAGCAGTCAATGCTCTCAACCACTGGGCCATCTCTCCAGCCCCTTAAAAAGCATTTTTGCTAATTCTTCGAGAATGTCTTACGATGTGTGAATACATATCATATTCACCACCAACTTCTCCCCCAATTCTTCCCAGATCTACCCTATCTCCCACCCATCGCTGAGTTCTCTTAAAACACACACAAACACCCCACCCCCACATACACACACACATACACACTTTTTAAGAATTTACAAACCCATGGGCTTCAATTTGTGCTGCCATACCCTTCTGGATGTGGGCTCATCTACTGGGGTCAACATCCAGGAATCTCGCTCACCCTTAAAACTGACTCTCCCTCCTCCAGAAGGCATCAGCTCTTCAGAGCTCCTCAGTTAGGGGTGGGGGCTCCTGACCCCTCCCACTCCATGCTGGAATGTCTGCTAGCTTGGTCTTGTGCAGGTGACCACAGCTGTGTGAATTCACGGGGACAGCAGTCCTGTTGTGTCCAGAGGACACTGCTCCCCTCCCTCTTCTAGCTCTCACCGTATCTCTGTTCTCTCTTCTGATATGGCCTCTGAACCTTGGAGAGTGGGCGTGATACAGACGGCCCATTTGGGACTGCATACCCCCCCCCCATTCACACTTGCTCTTCATGTTTTGACCAGTTGTGGGTCTGCCTTAACCACCATCCACTGAGCAAAGAATCTTCTCTGATGGGGTCTGAGGACTGCATTAGCCTAAGGGCAGAGAAACATGAATGAAGAGGCCAGAGAGCTACTATGTCCATTCAGCAGAGCAATAGCAGCAGGTTCACCCTGGGCTCTGTCACTGATCTCGAATCTCCATGGCCCTTAATGCTCATTAGTAGAAGGCCAAGTCCTGTGTTCTTGACTTTGCAATGCCCTTTGTGGTTGTGGCTTGCATGACATTGACCTCCAAGTCCACACGTTGCTCTATCTGGAATATTTCCCACACACCTAACTCATTGACAATATCTACACGTGCTTCGGGATCTGGCTTCTGGAGGCTTCCCTGGAAGTTCTCACACGCTCTACATGCCTGATACACCTGACTGTGTAGCCCTTGGGTCTGATACTCTAGCTTTATTCCTTCTTTATTTTTTGTTTCTTGTTTTTGACACAAAACACAGCTCTTGCTCAAAAGGAGTAAGAGAGTTTATTCTGAGCTGAATATGAGTAACTGTGGCTAGGGTGCACGTATTCAGCCCAGTGACAGACTCCCCCGGGGAAGCTGTTACACAAGCTTTACAGTCATGGGACAAACTGAAGTTAGAAATCAAGGTACTTGGCAAATGTGTGGGTAAGGACATTGGGCAGAAGTCTAGCAGAGCAGGGGAGTCTCTACTATCGGTTTCAGGTGCAAGCTATTGCCATTTCTGAGATTTGGGTTAGCTGAAGCTAATCTTCTCCTAAGTTAACACCTTCCATAGGACGTCAGGTCAGGTGATTAGGTAGGTAAATTAAGGAGACTAAAGATAGCCCATGATAATCTTGGTTCCTTATCTGCAACTGTCCAACTTCCCGTAGTCACTAATTTTTATTGGTCTGCATAATCCTCAACATAGGTAAAAAGGCTTTTTTACAAAAGGAACTTCCCTTAACTCTGCCAAAAGAAAAAAAAAAAAAGCCTTAGAATTCCTTCCTTCTCCCGCAATAGCCTGGGAACTCCTGGAGGGTGAGTCTGTGAGTTTCGACTTCACTACAGTTGCACACAGCTTGCACACAGTTCGTTTCTAGAATAAATGGTGTCGAGCCCATACAAAGGCAAGGCTCCATTCTCCATCCTCCTGCATGCAAACTTCACAGCTCAGATGAATTAATAATTTAAAATTAGATTTCACCTCTGACTAGTGCATAGGATATGGCTGGGTCTAGCTTATCCTGTAGTTATATGTCATTAGGAAGTTCGAAGAGGAGGTTAAGGTTCAGGTCATCTGCCAAGAGTTGCACAGGTAGCAGACTTTCGCCAGGGAACACCTTTGTGGGTGGGGCTGAGGAGCTGCAGAGCAGGAGGAGACCTTGTCCTCTTCATTTGCATAATAGGCACGGGATTTGTCACTCACCTGAGATGGGGAGGGAAGGGAAAATGAAGCCCCTCCCATCAGGCCAGGAAAGATGCCCTGCATGTTCACAGGCAATCAAAAACATGCCTCCTTTTCTGCCAGCTTGTGCTGCTATCAGGCCCCCTGTAAATGTGGGAAGCAGCTACGCAGACATTCTAGAACACAGGGACGAAGCACTGACAAGCCTGTTTATACTCTGCAAGGCTAGCAGGTGGCTCCCTAGTGAACTTAAACACCTGAAATTCAAATTTCCTGGCTAAGGGAGTAGGGTGCTGTGTTATTTGCTGACAGTTGTGAGCCATAATTGTGCTTAAATGATACTGCAGACTGTACCTGTTCTGCCCCCATGACTGTGCCTGGCTTGACAGCCTGCCCTGAGAAGTCACTCCAATGCTATTAGATTTTTTTTTAAATAGCCAAATGTGGAGCTTAGTGATTTATGCCTGTGGAAATTTATAGATTTTGCTAAATATATCCTTCAACTTTAAAAACGATAGCGACCAATTTTGTTTATGCACCTCAGTGTGTTGTTTGTGTGACTAAAAGTCAGGTTGCCATCAACTGCGAGAATTAAACATGAGTCAATGGCTAAGAAAACTTTCAAAGATTCAGATATAGATAGCTGCCTTTAGCTGGCTGAGTGACGGGTGCCGAGTTAAAGTGACAGATGCATTAATATCTCTGCAGTGGTACACAAAGACTGCAGTGGAAAGCTAACATTAGATTTCTTTAGCTGTGTGTGTGTGTGTGTGTGTGTGTGTGTGTATGCAGGCATGTGCGCATACATGTGCATAAATACCAGAGGTCAACCCTGGGTATTTTTCCTCAGGAGCCTTTATTATTATTATTATTATTATTATTATTATTATTATTATTATCCCAGGTCCCTCACTGAAACCTGGGGCTTACAGATTAGGCTAGATTGGCTGGCCAGGAATTTCCCCTGTCTCCGTCTCTCCAGTACTAGAATGACAAACATGTGTCACTGCACTGACTGTTGACTTGTCATTGGGGATTAAACTCTGGTCCCCACGCTTGCGAAGTCAGCACTTTGCAAAGGAGCCCTGTCACCAGCCTTACCAGTTCTGGTTCACTTAGGACCCACTGCTGTGAATGCTAAGATCTGCTGCCAGCTTTTTACTATGATTGTTTTGCTGCTGTGGTTGAGGGCGGTGGAAAGAGGGAGGGAGGCCTTCCTTTTTATCTCAATACAAGGCATCTGCTCTTTTCTCCATGGGGACAGTTTAATTACCTCAGTGCATCAACATAACTATGCCAAAGCTGAGAAGGAAAGAAATGGGCAAGGGGAAAACATCTTTGCCTATGACACCGTAGGGGTTGGCCCTTGAGAGGAAAAGGTCATGTGTCTGTGCTTTTTAAGTCTCCAACCATGGCAACAGTAAGGTGATATCATGATGCTAAGATACTGTTCATCTTCTAAACAGACAGAGGGCGTATGTGTACCCCAGAATGCCTCAGTCAAAGGAGACTGAGACAAAGCCAATACTGAGTTAGTATTCCCCTACTGCAGGAAAGGTCAGAGAAACCTTGGTAAAGTAGGAGGGCTACAAGGGTGTGAGATTTTCAGTCATCCTTTTTGGTCTCTCTCTCTCATCATCCTCCAAAAGCACAGCCTGTGCCCCAGCCTAGAGCCACCACACAGAACATGGAGTGTGGATGGATCAAAGTGCTCCTGCTCTCAAACAGTAGGATGCAGACGCCTTCTTGCCGAGATTGTAGACAGAGGCGAGTAAGTATCTGCATTCTAGAGACGCCAGCACTCACCTTGACCTCACTCAGGTGATTCCAACTCTCTGAAGGGAGGTACAGGCAATTCTCCAGCAACACAGTAGGTACCACCTACCTCTACATCCTCCCATGCCTTCATGATGAGACATGCCACTCAATCAGTTTCTCTGACATCTTTGCTCTTCATCCTGTGCATCTTCCTTGTGACTCAACAGTGGCCTTAAGACCAGGAGAGGCAGTAACCACTGGGAAGCTGAGTTCAGCACACAACAGAGCTGTGAGGCTATACCAGCAGTTGGGTTTTTCAGGACATCAGGACATCACTTGCTGAAGCAGTTAAGGCTGAAAGCATACAGATTCTCGCTGGCCCACAGTTCCACCATGACTGAAGAATCTTTGGATCTTAAAAACGAGGTCATCCATGAAATTATTAAAGGCCTCCAAGATGGAAACAATATCTTTCATTCTTCAATTTTTTCTGCTTTATTAAAGAGATAAAATAGCTCAGTGATGGATCTAAGTGTTGGGTCAAAGGCATTTCTCTTCAAGTAAATCAAAGCAGATGTTGACTTGGAGGCTTAATAGTTTAATTGAATATTCTGAAGAAGCAGGGTTTATGCTGCTGCTTGTTTTGTTTTTTAACTGAGCAAAAGCTTTTGCATGAGGCTCCAGGTTTTCAGGCATGTTGTTATTGAACAACAGTGATGCATGTGTGATGTGAGATTCCTCTTTGAATGCTATGAATATGTTTTATTACCACTGGTTATTAAAGAAGCTGTTTTGGCCAATGGCTTAGTAGAGTAAAGCCAGGCAGGAAATCCGAACAGAGATATAGAGAGAAAGTAGGCAGAGTCAAGAAGAACACCATGTAGCTGCTTAAGGAGAAAGATACAAGCTCCCAGCCAGAACCTTACTGGTAGGTCACAGCCTTGTGGTGATACACAGATTAATAAAATGGGTTAATTTAAGATGTAAGAGCTAGCTAGGCATATACTAGAGTCATTGGTCAAACAGAGGTGTAATTAAGATAGTTTCTGTGTTATTATTTGGGTCTGAGCGGCCAGGAAACAAACAAGCAGTCTCTATCTACACATGTGCAATGAAGGGGGGTTTGCAATTAAGCTTATATTATTTTGGCCAGTGCAGGCCACCTAAAATGCATACACATTTATAGCTACCAGGTGATATTTCAATTCATGAATAAGTTAAATCCAGTTAAGCAGAATTTTGCTTTTGTCTTCTCATTTTAAGTCACAGTGAATCTTCTTTACTGGCCCATGGACAGGACAGCTTCAAGTTCCCATGGCTGTTGCCCTGTGTGTTAGAGGATACGGGTGGGAAGTTGTTAGGCTTTTACTCTCTCTGTATCTTACTAAACTCACAATAAATAGCTAGAAACATGCTGAAAAGTGTGTGTGTGTGTGTGTGTGTGTGTGTGTGTAGGGGTTATGGGCAGTTGTGAACTGCCAGGCTTGGATGGTGGGGTGGGATCCAAACTCCAGCCCTCATGACTAAGTACAGGTGCTGTTGTTAACTGCTTGTCCATTGCTCCAGCCCCAGTGGAGAAACTGCATTTTAAACTACAGTATTCTGAGAGTTAAAAGGATTTATGTGTAAAGCATACATATTGTCAAAAATTCAAACTACCTTTACCAACTTTACTTTTTCTATGATCTGTGCAAATTGTTGACTATTACATTATTACATAATGCTGGCGACTGGAAACACTGATAAGCTAAATGATTGCTATAAGAGGAACACAGTGTTTATGTATATTTTAAGCACTGTAGTCCATAATCATCACAGAGAAGCAGTGAAGTCCCTGAGGGGACTGTTATCACCGGTTCCTTCCCATTTGGTACACCCTTGGATATTAGCCAAGGGGGTATCGCTAATGGTCATTAGAAGCAATTAACCATTTCTACAAAGATCTTGGCCTGTGGATTACTTATTAAGGGGTTGAGCATTTCTTAAAGGGTTCTGGGTATTCTTTAGAGGCTCATCCAGAACTTTTAGCTGCCCTTTAAAGCTCTCTCTCTCTCTCTCTCTCTCTCTCTCTCTCTCTCTCTCTCTCTGTGTGTGTGTGTGTGAGAGAGAGAGAGAGAGAGAGAGAGAGAGAGAGAGAGAGAGTAAATTTTAAGATATTGAAAAGCACTGGAAACAAAGTTTTCTGAGAAATGAATGGACATTCAGAAAATTCATTGTGTACATGTAGTCATAGCGAGGGAACAGGACAGAGAGCCAAGAAAAGTAAGCGTGGATCTTTGCTCTATCGGTGTGTGCGACAAGTGTGTGACAAGTGGGCCACCTCAGTTCTGGAAGCCTTGTTTTCTTTATCTGGAAGACCAAAGGACATCTTCTGAAGACCGCTACAAAGATAAAGTGAGGGAGTTGGCAAGAAGCATTTTAAATAATGGGACTCATCTCTTATTATAGATATAATCCAGATTCGTAAATGTCAAGGTCATTGAAAAATAAATATTAGATTTTCTGTCAAGCTGGGCCTAAAGTGGCCAGATGACATGTTCTATGACTGGACATGTTCCCTGTTTAAACCACCACTTTTCTACTTGCGGTATCATAATTGTTATGGTAGCTGAGTGGTTTCCTGGTCCCTCCTCAAGTTTCTGAGGTGAACTTCAGTGAGGTCTTTAATTGCACAACATGTTCATGTAGAGTTTAAAATTATTAACCATAACCTTTTCCTAGAAGTCCCACTGACAGGACACATTCTAATTCTAAAGCTGCCTTCTGGTCTTCTTATTTCTAGTTAATTTTCATTAAAATTACCTAAGCAATGAGTGATTAGCTTAGAAATTTGAAAAACGGAAAGTCAGATTGAATATAAAATTATATAATGCCATCATTTTTAAAAAAATTATCTAATCAAAGGGTAAAAGACTCCTATGCCACTGGACACAATTCTCAGAGACCGTCCCTATTTCCCCTGGAGCAGGTATTATATCCTTTCTTCCTTCTCCACCCTTATTTAGCTCATCCAGGAAACCCCATATGTGACCAATCATTACAGCACACTGCTTGATAGTCTTCCAATTTACCACCACATAAACCCATAACTTTGCACAGTTTTTAACTTAGTCCATTTAAAGCTGTATTTTCACTTTATCATTTATTAATTTGATTTATGCCTTTTGTTTATTTCAGGCAATAGTAAGTGGCCTCAGTGTGTGCTTTGTATTGAATCTACTATCCCTAGAAGTAGTTCCAATAGTCAGCCTCTCCAGCAGGTGCAGTCCCAAGAATCCCTCAACTGGCATTTTGTCCCCAACCTGGACCTTTTCCTGGAAATTCTGATGTGGAGGAAGGAAAAGGATAGGATAGAAGGCTTTTAAAAAGGACCAAACCTCTTGTGTGTTTTACTTTTGCCATAATGGTCAACATGCTTGTTAATGAAGCCTTCATTTTTGTTCTTCCTGCAATACACTCTGAGCCTTGAGGGTACTGGGCCCATCATGTCCTAAGCATGGAACAGACACACAATAGCTAGTTGTCGAGGTGGGAAGGATGAATGAACAGTCCTAGGACCCGGGCTACGTCATTTCAGAGGCATACTTCCTGGTACATTTATGGAAATCTAAGTGTCCTCAGTTGACAGTCAGGTGGCAATTTAATATGACTTCTAAGATGGAAAGTTCTAGTGGAAGTTGTCACTCACATTTTAAAGGCAATATACCTTGTATATAGCTGAGAGAAAGCTTGTCTTGGCATATTAGATATAAAACAGACCCCCTTCTCTATGTGGGGTGCTTCCCAAGTCCCCAGTTGAGGCCTGAAAGATACAGCTGATACTGATTCCCGTATCTGCTTTGTTTTATCCTAAATACACACAAACTCCTGATAAACCTCAATCAAGAACTAGACACAGTAATAAGTTAACAATAGCTAGTATTTAGGGGTATACTGAAATATAGTTAGACCATCTCATTGGTGTATTCCTAAGAATACTATAGAACAGCCATGAAGTCCTATGGTAAACTGGTCTCTGGACCAGTCACAAATTTCTCTACAATGTGACCATGATAAAGGCTAGCTCCTGACTATGTGACTGCTCTCTTTCAGTTTCCGTAAGCAATGCTTTGCTTCCTGTAGCTATCCAGAACTGCTTTTCAGTACACATCACAGTTGTGCTCTTTGCCCTTAACAACTCGAATCAACTGGAGGTTGAGGCTACTTGGGACAGTCTTGCCAGCGGATATAAAGTCTCCTCTCTACCTACTTACACTTTTCTGGACTTTTTTCTCTTCAGGTACCCCCTCCCATAATAAGTAATAAAGGAAAATGATGTGGTCTCTTTCGCAAAATAGTTAGGTGTACTGTATACATATATAATGTGTTTGCTTTACCGAGTGCTTTCATCTTTACCCTAGAGGAAGCACATCAAGGCATCCACATCACCATCATCAACACTGGTCCACTTCAAGACCATATAAACCCAGGCAAGGACTACTTGAATGCCATCATTGTGATACTATGATGGTTTCTCTTGACAGTTGAGGAGGCTACTAAGCGACTCAAAGATAATCGTGTGGATAAGCAAGGCAAAGACGATGCCTCCTGTCCCAGGTAGGATACAGTTAGTCATGCATAATCTCATCATGTTACCAAGAATGGTTGAAAGTTGAAACAGGAATCCTTAGTTTCTGAAATTTTCCATATTTTGGATCAAAGATGACCAGGAGTCACCAAGAGCATCAAACTGACTCTGTGATCAAATTCACTATTTGCTCTTTAGTTTGATCCGATATCAGCCCCGAATTATAATTCTGACTCTGTGAAACAATAGTACAGTAAGGACCTGAAAGGCCATAAATTCAAGGTAAGTGAAGATCTATGTGTCTTAGAGACAAGTAAGACTCTCTGTCACCAAGCCTGCCCCCTTCAGAGTAAGTTTCCTGGTGTTTACAAAATGGCAGCCGAAATCTAGAAAGACTGTCTGTTGCTAGAATCAAAGAGCTGGATACTCTATCTCTAGTGTCAATGTTTACATAATATAAAAACCTCTTAACCAAATCATAAGCATTGCTTAAATACATAGGTCACTTTCTCATTTACCTATCTTGGGTAGCCATGCCAATAATGTTGCACTTTCTAAGGAAATAATCAGGGATATATGCAAATATTGAAAGAAATTATATTTATCCCTAACATCGTACATATTAGTAGAACACCAAAAACAATTCTAGCATCCTGTTCTCAGAGACTGAGCAAGTGCAATGTGGCGTAGCCACCGGACAGCACATTATGACACCATTGAAAGGCAAGTCACAGAAGGACTTCAAATTATGTAGGGCAAGAATCACAGGGCATCTCACTGCCTACTGTTTAACAAAAAGAATGGTTTGTAAACGAGTACAGCTGTAGATCTCTCCATCTCTAGAGTAGGTTAAGTCTAATAAGACCCTACAGATATCAAAACAGACAGATGGTCAAGTCCCTTATATAAAATGACACAGTGTTTTTAATATAATTTACCACACCTCCATTGTCTTAGTCAATATTCTATTGCTATGAAGAGACATCATGACCAAAGGCCACCTTATAAAAGAAAGCATTTAATTGAAGGCTTCTGCGTGCACGTGTGTGTGTGTGTGTGTGTGTGTGTGTGTGTGTGTGTTGCTGGGGATCAAACCCAGGGTCCCATGTCCTAAGTAAATGCTCTATCCCTAAACTGTATTCCTAGCCCTCCAGTGTGTGTGTGTGTGTGTGTGTGTGTGTGTGTGTTGCTGGGGATCAAACCCAGGGTCTCATGTCCTAGGTGAATGTTCTGCCCTGAACTATATTCCTAGCCCTCCTGTGGATGTTAACTAATCTCTAAGTTTCACACAACAGCTAGTACAGTGTAAATGCTATGCAAACACTTGTCATACTACATTGTTTGGTGATGACAAGGGTGGCGTGGCGGGGGGGAGGTCTGTGCATGTTCAGTGTGCCGACACGATTTCTTTCCCAACACTTCCTTCCAGGGTTGGTGAAATCTGTTGATGCAAACTCACAGATTCTGAATACCGACTATACAAAGGGATCCTTTTACATTCATAGGGTGCCCAAGGATCACCTTCAGTGATCAAGAGCAATGGGTCCCAGCGGCATCGCTGAGTCACATCGAAGTGACGTCGACATTCACCTTCGTGCCCGTCTCTGCTTTATACTTACTACAATGCAAATGTAATTAAAAAGAAAATATGGTACTCTAAGACAGCAAACCAAACCAACCAAAGAAGCCAGCCAGTGCCTGCTATCAGCATTCTGATCTGGGCTGCAAAAGACTGCCGGCTTTTCTACTCGTGGCCCACTCTACAGAGACTGTCCAGTGCCCTCTTACCCTGCTATACCATTTGGGCATTGCTTGCTGTACTGCCCAGCACAGGCGAGGTGCTTCCATGTGCATTTCTTCTTAGCTTCCATATACATATACCCAGTATGAAAGAGATAGAAAAGTCTTAAAACCATCCTAGGTTTATCCACAGATCCGGGAAAACATCAGCCTAGACATATCCTGAAATCTATGCTCACCCTGAACACATTCCTCATCCTCTCATCTGGTTGGGTATATTGAATAGCCAGGATGCTCAAAATATCTTCATAAACCAGATATGGTAGTACACACCTACAAACCCAACACTAAGGAGGCAGAGGCAGGATGATCAACAGGCCATTCTTGGCTACGTAGGGGACTCTCTAAAAACAAACAAACAACAAGAATAGTCCCCCCAAAACCAAAATTCCTAGTAGGTTCAATGTGACAGGTCCCCAGCAGACCAGGCTAACTGACACGCCCTTAGCAAATAAACGCAGTCTTTCTCACTGTGTACGCATACTGCCTGGGTTTAAATAATTAAACATAGCACCGGTCCTTTCAATCAATCACAGAATGTGAGTCCTTTGTTAGAAGACTATCCTTATCATTACATTTCATCAAAGGGAAATATCAAATAAAATGTTTGCTCAGGAAGTTTTCTCAGTTGATAAATGAAAGACTTACTCTCAGAAATGGGGAATCCCATCTCCTTCCCTCAGAAGGAAGAAGAGTGTGGTCTCCAGCTGACCTCTCTCTGAGCCCTGGATTGGTCTTGCCTGTGAAGACCTCATTGGAACATGCCTGCAGGGGATTTACTCCATCTAATTGGAACGAGGGTACCAAGGGTGTTCCTTGGAATGCCTGCTGCTGTAGTAGACAACCAGAGCACATAACCGTCTGCAGGTAATTAGGGGACAATATGAACTAGTCTAGACTTCGGATTCATTCTGGTTCCAGCATGCCCAGCCAATCAATAGGCATTAATCATTCCATGCTTATTGCTAACGTGATTCAGCCTCTGTGACTCATCGGCATCACACACAGGGAAGTCTGTTGTGACTGGAGATGGGCAGGAGAACTAGTCGAGAAACGAGCTTTGCCTGAAGGTGCAGAATTTCCAGCGGGCCAGTGATGAGAGGGCCCAGGTGGGGTGGGGAACAAATGCTAGCCCGTGAGGAGCTCTGAACAGCGCGTTTGGAAGGTGCCTATCTAGCGTTGTCTGCGCCGTTAGGGAGCCCAGAGCTCGCACTGTTTCGATTTCCAAATATTTTTCATTTATGGATGCCTTATCCTTCCAACTCCCTCATATGCTCCAGAAGGGTAGGAGCCACGTGGGTTCCATCTCCATCCCTGGTGCCTAACTTGGGTTAGAGGGAGGTGGCCACCTAGGAGCGGTGGCCTGCGCTGCTTGTCTCCTTGGGGATAGTTTTGTTGAGGCTTCTGGCAATAAAAAAAGAAAAGAAAAGAAAGAAAAATTTCTTAGGCTGACCCAATAAAGGTGAAGATTTCCGAGGTGTCGTCAAGCTTGGGTGCCCAGGGAAACTTCTCTGGCCTGCTAATCACTGCAAAACAGGCTCTCTCACTCGGAGAGAGTTCCCCTCCTTCCTGTTCTCAGCTAGAAATACCATGAGAACAGACTGTCTCACAGTGTTTTCAGACTTCCACTCCTAGTCCCTGCCAAAAGCAGGAAGTGCAGAAGTGGGCGATGATTCTTTTTTTTTTTTTCTTTTTAGAACACTTTATTAAAGAGTTTTGGTTGCTTCTTGTTTTCCTCCCTCCGCCTGAACCTCATTAGAATTAATTTGAGCAATACTTTCAGTTTACTTGATGATTTTTTTTTAACAAGGCATAGAAAGGATTTTAGTTAGTAATGTCGCTTCCTGGTAAGGTAAAGTAGAAGGAGGCACCAAGGACTCGGGACGTCAGAGAGTGGGAGCACCCTGAGGTTTCTCTGCTTCCTCCACCCCCCTTTTTTTAAAGCTGATGAGAAAATTGAGATGGAACAATATTACGTGGGGCACTTCTTACTCTACATAGGCAGGGCTCTAATCCAATGGGGAGGATACGCTGCTTCCCCACGGTAGTGGAACACACCACGTCTCTTGTCCCGCAGTGAAGTGACCCGCACCTCCTCACCAACACCCCACCCCAGTTGAGTCTGCCCTCTTTGCCCTCCTGTTCTTAATCCCATGGGTCAGCCCTTTTAATCTGTGAAAGCCAAATGCAGACAGTGCATTAAGAGGACCAGGGAGGGACCCCTGTGTCTAAGTATTCCATCGAAGGTGGAGAAGGGAAAGGTGGAAGGGAGAGGGGGGAGGGAACGTATGGAGGGAGGAGAGAGGAGAAGGGAGAGGAAGAGAAGAGTCGGGTGAGAGGGAGGGAAGAAGGAAGGAAGCAAACAGAGAAGCAAAGTGAGGTTGAGAAAGGGAAAGAAGGAAGGAGGGGAGAAGGAAGGAGGGGAAAAGGATGGATGGAGGGAGGGAAGGAGGATGAGGGAAAGAGGGCTAGGAAGCATTTCCTTGCAGTAGGCTCAGCTTCCTAAGCTCAAGTGAAACTATTTGAACAGCAGGTCATTTGAATGTAAACTATATGAAATGGGGTCACAGAGATGGTAGGGCCCGGATCCATAGGGCTGGTGACCTCAGAAGAAGAGGGACAGAAAGTGATCTTTCCAATGTTGGGCATACAGAATAAAGGGTGCCTGAGGACACCAGGAGAAATTGGCCACAGATCTTACACTTCCAAGCCTCGAGAACGCTGGGGAATGAGTAAATGATTTTTAAATCAGCCAGGCTGTGAAATTTGGTTATCACAGCCTCAGAAGACTAACGGATAGATCGTTACTGATAAAACTGCGGTTCTAGGCTTTTCCTACAACGTGAAAAGTTTCCTGATGAACCATTCCACACTATCTGGACACACCTTGCGGGACACACCTTGAGGTGCTCCATATCTCAAGCAGCAGATCTAAGGTTAATTAGCACAGGACTTGAACGTGGGTGCAGGACTGAACCACAGATTGAAGCTAGTTCAGCTCAAGGTCACAGTAAAGGGCAGGCTAATGTTCATTAGCAATGACTCAGGGTCCTGCTCACTTCCCCAGATAAAACTGAGTGTAGTCTAAAGCCCCTGAAGTTTGGCCTTTGGGATGCCAATTGCCCCTGCCAAGCTCTGTACAAAATTTTGTATTGAGTTCTAAGAAAAATTTAAACAGAGACTGCAAAATTATGCAAGCCTCTCACCCCTACATCTCACTCTTGCACCCCTTAAGTATGTATGATATTATCTTATCTGTGGTAGCAACAAAGATGGTAGGAGAAAAAAAAAAGCCAAGACATTCAGAACAAATAGTTGACTGACTAAATAAAGTAGGGACAATTTAAGCAGAACCATACAAGGCAGATGAAAAGAGAAAAAGCAAAGACTCAGTGGATACAAGACAGATCCACTGCACCTCCCCAGTATCCCCAAAGACTCAGTGGCCACATACCAAATCCACTGCCCCTCCCCAGTGTCCCTAAAGACTCCTAACAGTGCACATTTTCCACCTGAAGAAAAACATGATTCGCTGAGGTACCTCTTGTTTCTGGGCAGAGTCCTCAGGGATTAGCATGAACCTGCTCAATCATTTCTTGCAAGAGTCAAGTGCTGTGAGCATGGCTCTCTCTACTTACTGAGAACATGAAAGGTCCACGTCATTAACATGAACCAGACCCGCCTGAGTCCAAAGCCGGAAGATCGTTAGTTTGATAGAACTGATAACGCTTACTGCGAGCGAGCAGCAGCAGGGGATGGCTGGAGAAGGGGTGGGGACAGTGACACTCTGCCTCCTGCAGCATAACTTCAGCGATTTCCCTATGGCATTCTCTCCTCCTTGCCTCTCTGCAGGTCCCAATTTTGATTTTAGAATAGTCTTGTCCGTGAATGAGCTCGGTGCTGCAGGCAATCCCAGGCATTGGAGTTCTCTGCTCTCCTGCCTTTCTGTTTCTTTAAAGACTTTGAGCTCTGTAAAATTAGTAGCTTTGAATGTAAAAGCCATTAGTGATTGAGCCAAGCTTTGGACATGTAATTCTATGAGAACAAGAAATCATGGGGATTTTGAAAAACTTGGAATTGAATTAATCTTGTCTGGCTACAAAATTTTTCACCCTGCTTAGCTCTTACATAATGTCTTTGTGGAGGCTTCTGCGTGTGTATGTGTGTGTTTATGTGTGTGTACATGGGTAATATATATATGTGTGTGTATTATATGTGCATATATATGGGTAAAATATATCATGTGGGTAATTTGTGTAGGAAATATATAATATATCATATATGGGTAAAATATATAAAAACATGTGTATATATATGTATGTGTGTGTGTGTGTATGCATGTTTGTGTCAGGGCAATGAATGATTACAAGCTACTTTCTCCTTTGCCTGTGAGTGTAACAAGAACAAATAGCAAGACATGTTGTTTTTCTTCTTTTATCTTCCGAAAAGATCAACCAGAAACCCAATATGAAAAAAGCTAATGTGGTACGAAGTTTGCAAATTTAAATTGAGTCCTGCAGTCAAGGCATGCACCGTTTCCATAGCAACATCAGCTCTCATCTTGAGGATTTTCAGTCCTATTAAAGGCATTAGATTCAGACAGTTATGTATACCAGTGTGCACACAGTGTGGCTGAACTTGAGGCGGAAGCTTATTTTCCATGTTTTAATTATAAGTAATTGTGGGTGGGTATGCCTGTCATGGGGTCAAGGGGAGGAGCCTTGGATAAATGGATGGTATAAAGTACCAGGTTGGTTTATTTTGTCCTCCTCTTGATTTTTCTCCCTTTATGCTCCATTTCCTCACTACCCTGGATTCTGAAAGTGAGAAGGGTAATGATGTGGCTGCTGCGACCTACTCGAGAAAGCTACCTTGCTGTGTAATCCATGGTGCTACCTCCGAGAATATACAAAGCCGGTTTTCCCACGTGGCAAGCTGGGAAAGGCAGAGATGGCCGTAGGGTGGCACAGTTGTGTAGCTGAGTCTACACTGGGCATCTGCATCACTTTTCTTAGAAAGTCTTGTGTATGTGTCTAGTAATGTATGTGTCTAGTAGATAGGGTGTGGGTTTGTGAGCATGACCACATGTGATGTGTTTGGAGGCATGCACAAGTGCCACTGCACATGCGTGGAGATCAAAGACCAACTGTAGGTCAATTTCCCACCTTGTTGGACACCAAGCTAGTGGGCCTATGGGCTCCCAGGGATCTCTGTCTCCTCCTCCCACTCCCCGGAGGAGGACAAGGATTACAGGTCCACGTTGCTGCGTCTTGTTATTTATTTCTTTGTTGGTTTCTTCCTAAAACAGGGCTTCTGGTAATTCGAACTCGGGTCCTTACACTTTCAAGGCAAGTGCTTTAGACACGGAGTCACCCCCCCCCCAGTCCCTGTATCACATTTAGTTGTTGGCACAGAAATAGGAATAGGCACCGCCTCAAAGAAA